GATGAGGAATTCAATAAAGTGAATATCATAGGTTTTAATTCGGGAAAGTTTGATTTAAATTTATTCTTCGTGATTTAAACACTGCAAAATGGAAAATAAAATCAATGCTGGGTTCTTCTTCTCAATTTAAGCAAGTCATTGTAAAGAAAACAAACGCTCCATATGAATTGAGATTTATTGACATCAGAAATTATATAGCGGGTGGGACATTAGACCAATTCACTCAAGATTTCGGAAACAATAAATCACGTGTTAAATCCTTTTCCCTTATCAATTCATCACGTGGGAAAATTACGAAGAAGAATTATATAAAGTGGAACCATTCACTCAAGATTCATTTTATTCAGCATTAACTCAAGAAACTATATCAGATAGTGATTATCAAATATATCTCAATGATGCTAAAAATTTTAAGAATAGATTAGAATATTTTATTCATTATTGCAATAAAGATGTTGAAATTATGATTGACCCAATCGATAAAATTATTGAAGAAACATTTGTTTATAAAATTGATATGCTTCATAATCTTTCTTTATCATCGAATGCTTCAATGATTCGTTACGCTTTAGCATATAAAGACTTTAATCCTAATGAAAAATATCCTGAGGAAGAGATAGAATCAAGTTTTGAATTAACGAAAAAGTATTGGAAATATAAAATTGAATCATATAAGAAACAAGATGAAAAAGCAGAAAGAGATACTAAAAATAATGTTTCAATGGATGATTTTCAATACTATCACGATTTAATCCTTTCATCTAAATGCAAAATGTGTGGTAAAGCGTTTACATATGCAAATAAACCAACATTGGATAGAATCGATAATGAAAAACCACATACCAAAGAAAATTGTCAGTTAATGTGTTGTTATTGCAATGTCGTAAAATCAAATAAAGATGAAGATGTTCAACGTTTAAGAATCAATTTAAGAAATTAGCATTAAAAAATAATTTACCAATGACTTTAGATTCAGTTGAAGCTTATCACATTCTCCGTAATGGAATTACTGGTGGTTTATCAAATGTTCAACATAGAGTAAATCTTAAAGGAATCACGCACATTAATAAACTTTCATATAATCCAGAAACTAAAACTGTATCAAATGAGGACACCCAACATCATGACTCATTTCGTTGGTGTTGATTTTAATTCATTATATCCTTCATCATTTTCATCTAATCCTCATGATTTCATTCAATATACTGACCATAAAATGTATATGCCGGGAAGATTGAATGGTGTTATCATTTGTGATACAGCAACAAAGAAAGCAAAAGCACTGGGAATAATTAAGAAGAAAAATACTTTATTCGTGGCTGAAGTAAAGGGTCACATTGATGAAAAATACATTAATGATTACATAAACTTTTTACCGATAATAAGAAACTTAGATATTATCACAGATGAAAAAACAATTGGCAGTTTTATGTATAATTACATGAAATCAAACAATCTACCAGTTGACCAGAAACAGAGAAAATTAACTCAGTTAGCATCAACACACAACCAATATCAACCATTTTCTTCTTATTATCTTTGGTATCTAATAGACAGATTTCATTTTATCATCGATGATATTCAATCAATTTTAACATTTACGAAAAACACTTGTTTTAATGAATTTGCGAACGAATTTATGAACGAAAGACAAAAGGCTGAATTAGAAGGAAATAAAGGAAAAAGTTTATTTTGCAAGATTTCACTTAATGGATCATATGGTTACGATGCAATGAATACACAAAATTACGCAAAGACTAAAATAATGAATGCACAGAAGGCACGCGTTGCATGTATGTCAAATAAGTTTAAAAACATAAGAGAAATAGGTGAAGATACATATCAAGTGATGCTTAAAGATAGATTTTATAGATGTGATACATGTTTACAAGAGGCATTCTTCACTTTAGATAATGCTAAATACTGGTATTTGGTTTTCATTTATGATTTTATGTATAAATGCATGAATGTTAATCGTTTTCATTTCATTGAAGGTGATACTGATTCATCTTATTGGGCAATCGCTGGCGACCCAAATCTTCCTAACACTCAAGCATTTCAAGCAATTGTTACCGATAAACAATTTTATGATAAAAACATTTTCAAATTCGCACCATTTGATTTCTTCTGTTTTGATGAGAAATTTAAACCTAAATTAAAGAATAAAGCTGAAGAAAAAGCACATGAGAAGAAGTTATTGGGTTTAGCAATTGAGAAACAAGGTGATAACATGGTTGGCTTTATGTCCTAAATGTTATACATCATTCAACGGTTCAATTGATGGAAGTGATTTTAAAAAGATTGCACAAAAAATGAAGGGTGTTAGTTTAAGACAAAATAAGCAATTAACACCTAAAAAATATTTGGATATAATAAATGATAAAGTGATATTTGATGGTCAGAATATTAATTTACAACTTAAAAACGGGTCAATGACTCGCTTAACAATCGGTAAGACTGCATTAACAGGAGCACACACTAAGGCTGTATGTTGTGAAAATGGATGTTGTATGCCATTTATTTAATACAATTTAAAAACGTAGGGGTTGAGTCATGAATTTAAAATTTTATTTTTAATAAAATGCCACAGAAGAGACAAAAGGAACCGTTAATGATGCGATTCAATATGTAAATAATGGTTTTGATACTATGATTCAAAGAGGTGGGCACCCTTAAAACATTGATTTTATTTTTATATAAATGGATAATGTAGATTTAGAAATTTTAATTGATGATTTAGTATTTAATCAAAATTTTCTTGATTATTACGATTTAAAATCATATCTCCAAAAACATAATAACAATATAACGGGTGATGATATGGAATATTATTATCCATATTATAAAAATGAAATTTTGAAATATCATAATAAAATAATTTCTGAAATTAAAGACAAAATTAAAAATAATGAATATACAAAGGGAAAAACTAAATCACAACTTAAACAGTTGAAAGATTTCAAAAATAAAGTATTAACAGAAGAAGATATTGATGAATTATATAAATTATATAATCCTGAGCCGCAAAAGCCAAAGCCGAGGTCTAAAGTAGCAAATGTTCAACAGCTAAAGGAACAAAACGCCCAGGTTCTTCAGACCATAAATGATGCACAAGCTTTAATTTATGATTCATTAGTTAAACCATATTCAGCCCGACTTTTAAATGAAGATCAACTTTTGGAATTCATCCTTCAACATAAACTCGAAGCGGGAAAGTATATCAAACCTTTATATACAGCATATTTAAAACAAATGAATAGAATACATCCAGAATTAATGAAGGGGGGAATGAATTCCAAAACTTCATCATCCAAAATCAAAGCAGATAAAATTAAACCACTTGCAACACCAAAACCTCCAACGACAGTACCGCCTCCTCCTTCAGTTAATCCTTCATCATTCACTTTATTATATCCATTTCAAACATTAAAGAAGCAAAAAGATTTTAAAAAGGATTTCAAAATATTAAATAAACCAACTGACCCAAAAATTCAACCGTTAAAGGAAAAATTTAGTCGCCCTTCATTTGCACCATATCCATATTCATACGAAATCGATCATTTAGAATATTCAAAAGGAAACGTTACTTATTTATTTGCCATTAACATTAACACTAGATATTTATATTGCATTCCGGTGAAAGGGAAAACAGAACAGGAAACAAGAAGAGCTATACAATACTTACTAGATCATGAAAGAGTAGATAATATAAGGGGTGATGGTGATAAAGGATTTCAGGCAGCTATGGCTCATTATTTCCCACAAATTAATTTTTACTTCTCATCTTCTCCATATACGTTTCATAATAAAACAGTTGATGCGGTAATGAGAACTCTTAGAGATGCGTTAGGGGTTAACGGTCAGATATACTGGGATGGAAATCATGACTCCATCATACAACAGTTAGTATATTATTACAATAATACATGGCATAGAACTATAAACATGAAACCAGTGGAAATGAAAAATGATATTTCAAAAGAATGGGAATATATTAGAAAGCAAATGGAAAGGTTAAATGATGTTAAACGTGAACAAATTAATTCGGGGCTCATGAATTTTAAACAAGGGATAAAGTTTTGATTCATCTCGATTATGGAAAAACTGATAAATCAATGACAAAAAGAAGACGAAGATTTGACACAATAGCTGAATTTGTTAGATATATTAACGGCAATGCATTAGTTGAAGTTGACAATAAATTAATAGAAATTCCGATTTATTTTATTACTCCATTATATTTAAATAATATTTAATTTTTTTAATTCGTAAGAAATGAGTGACAACAAAGCATCCAAGAGTCCTGATTCAATTAAGATTCAGAGTCCAGACGATGAATATAAAAAGAAACTAAACAGAATTAAATCAAAAATATGCTATTACAAAAAGAAGCCGCAATGCGGTGGGGCTGATGCCCATAAAACTAATGGAACTGAAAACGATGAAGAGAGGAAAGAAATAATCGAAAAATTAGAAACTTACCGTTCAATCCTTAAACTGGGTGAAGCAAAAATAAAAGAATTTAATAGAATAAATAAATTGATTGGAAGAGATGAATTTAATAAAGATGAATTTTTAAACTCAATCCAAATTTAATTTTTATTCCTCTTCGACAACGTCTCGAATAACTGAAGGTGTCACTATGTCACCATGTCACCAGATTATTTAACTTCTTTTAAAAAGTGTGACAACATGACATTTTGACAACACAGCGGGACGAAAGGAGGAAGGCATTTATGAATTATTTTTGAATAACTGAAGGTGTCACTATGTCACCATGTCACCAGGTTATTTAACTTCTTTTAAAAAGTGTGACAACATGACATTTTGACAACACAGCGGGACGAAAGGAGGAAGGCATTTATGAATTATTTTTGAATAACTGAAGGTGTCACTATGTCACCATGTCACCAGGTTATTTAACTTCTTTTAAAAAGTGTGACAACATGACATTTTGACAACACAGCGGGATTAATGCAAAAATAAATTCAAATCATACTTTATAAAGCTTCATTTACAGGTATTTCATCGTCAGTAAATGAATCCTCATTATCGTTTGGTTCAACCTGTTTATATAATCCTTTCATTTCTTCTTTCAAAACATAACACCATGTTTGTTTACCATCTATTCTTCTCTGTTTCCTATCACATTTATCCTTAATGCTCATTTGGAAATTCTTGTCTTTCATGTCTGATGGTTTGCAGAATAGAGCATTTTTACACGTCATACCTGCACACAATTCATCATAATGTGTATTTATCCATACATCTAAAGGATTTGTTGATAACTCGATTAAATCTTGTTTGGCTTCAGTCATCGGTATGATTCGTACATTAAATGATGAAAGGTCATATTGCATAAAATACGTCAGTAAATTATCATAAAATTCCTTTGTGCATGAATTCATTAAATTCTTGAAATAATCAAATTGACCCTTAAATTTACCATTAACTCTTAAAACTACGTATCTTCTGTCTCCAACTTCAATTTTGACAGGGTAAACGTTATTAGTTACGAAAATGAAGTTTGCAACATTCTGAGCAGTTCTTCTGGGTTGATTCTTTTCATTAATTCTTATCTCATTATCCGTTATAATTGATTTCAAAGCGTTGAAGTTTGCGAGTCTGTCTTCACCAACATTCTTGAGTTCATTAAGTACAAGAAACATTTTATTCTCAACTACTGAGTTGAAATTACCCGTTAGCTCACCTATTTCGGTAATGTTTTTACATGAATAACCAGCGAGAAGTTCAGAAATAATGTCTGTAAATCTGTTTTTACCTGTTCCCTGAAGTCCTTTCAAAATAATTGCTGTTTCATTCTTGATTCCAGGATGTTGAATCATTGATGCAATCCAGCCGAGAAGGTATTTATACACTTCATCGTTATTATCACAAATGGCTTCTTTAATGAAATTCATAAACATCTCAATTTTTGAGTAATCTGGCTTTTCGAGAACGTTGTATTTATAACCTTGAAACGTTGAGAAAACATCTGGAGAATCAGATTTAAAGCAAACACCCTTAACGGTTAATGAAGACAATTGATTTAGTAGTACGTCCCATGCTGTTATTGTTTTACCTTCTTCTTTAAATAATTTAATCATTTTGAGTGACTCTTTCATGTTTGATTGAAGAACGAATGATATTTGATTCATTTTGTCGTGTATGTTGTAATCTTTCTGAATGAAGTATTTGTTTCCACAATCTACAAAACGGATTACACGTGATAAATCCTCAATTACTTCAGAACTGTTTTTATACTGATGATTTTCAGCCTTGCGTCTAATATCTGTTATCAAAAACGAGTCATCAAGTTTTATATCAAATGTTATTTTTGGCTTACGTAATAAAGGTAAAACATATTCATCATAATATTCTTTTTGATATAGTTTTAGAATCTTCACTAAAACAAATGGAGAAGTCATTAAATGTGCATATCTACTACGTGCTTTTTCAAAATTACTTTTTGCATTTTCTGTTAAGCTGCAGAAGTTATAAACGTTATCGTATGCTTCATTAATTAAATGATCCGGTAACGAATTAATAGCTTGAAACAGTGTGAATAATGTTATTTCTTTTTCTAAATTCATGTTTCCACCGTCATTATGTACTTCAAAATCACTAATACCATCGACTATGCTCTGGGCAAGTTTATCGTCAATGTTTACATCTTTGTTTTCATTCGTGATAGTCTTTATTTCTTCGTTCTTCTGTTCAACTCTTACCTTAATATTCAAATCATTTAATATATCATTCACTGTTCTAGTTAATGTTGAATCATAACTTCCACGAATGAATGAGTATGTATTGATTGGTTCTGTTGCATTCTTGCGAACTCTTGAATCAGCCATGACTACTAAGAACGCTTTGAATCATCATAGAAGTCATTATATCAATATCATAATCATTGCAGGAATAACATTTAATCATTCTGTTCGAAACTGCATAGAAGAAATTAGTGTTGCAATAAATGTGAAGACCTCCTGAAGCGGTTTTAACGATAACATCTTTATCCGAAAGTTTTGATAAAATATCTTTTCTAACTGTTTCTTTAAGTTCATCATTGTACGATTTATTGATATCAACATCTATAATCGTTAAATTTGAAATTTTATTTACTAATAAAGCCATACCAGTTTTCCTTCCTCTTCCTCCATCATGTTTGAGGTAGTTATGTAAATCAATCTTGTTTTCACCAATTCTTTCGTTGAGGGTTTTAGTTTCTGCCACAACTAATTCCTCAGCTAATGAATCAATAACTTTTTCATCAGAAATGATATAGTTGCTGTTGTTGTTTGTTGCTGTCATTTATATAGGAATAAAAAAATAAAAATAATTTTAAAACTAACTTTATTTTTGGGCTGCATCAAATTTCCAGGAATGTTGTCAAAATGTCATGTTGTCATCATTTTTAAGAGAAGTTAATTAACCTGGTGACATGGTGACGTAGTGACACCTTCAGTTCTTCAAAAATAATTAATTATTGAATAACCTAAAAACATGAGACTTTGTCTCCGGACTCTTTGAGTCACTTAACGATAAAATATATTTTTGGGTCATGGGCTATGCCCCGCCACGTTGCGTCTTTATGACAAAAATAAATGGTTCATTTACTCACAATATTTTTGTACAAAACGACCCCAAGCTTTTAACTTCTTTTCTGCAGCTTCTAATGCTATCTTAGCGAGTTCATATTCTCTAAATTCTCTCTTTAAATTTTCTTGTTCCCATTGGCCTAGTTCGAATGGAGAATCTCTATAACCATAACATAACTCACGTTCATGTTCTAATTGTTTTTCGCGCATTTTTCTAACTTCTTGTTCGAACAAAGGTTTAGCATTCTCTACTGTATCTTCAAGTTCTTCTTCATCTAATTTCTCATGAACTTTCTTGTCTATGGAGTCCATAATTTTTCCAACTGCTATGCAATATTTTGGAGAAGCCCACATTGCTATATAGTTTATAAGTCTTGGGTCTACATACGTTCCTCTAACTTGTTTGATTTCATCAGGAATTCCTGCATGAATTTTGTATAAAAAGCAACCGCCGGAATTCGGACTGTTGCTATATTCTTCACAAAATGCCTTATAATACTCTTCCCAGGACTTATTTTCCAACAACTTTCTAAAGTCTTTCCTAAACTGCTGACACATATTTGTTGCATTAATGTAACCATCCTTGTCTCTACGTAAGACTTCAATACCGTTATAAGTGCCTTTTGTGAATGTTTCGCCATTAGATTTGTTCGTGAATGTTTTTGCTTCGACTGACATTTCTGTTCTTACATACAAAATAAAAAATAAAAATAATTTTAAAACTAACGTAAACATTTATTTCCAGGAATGTTGTCAAAATGTCATGTTGTCATCATTTTTAAGAGAAGTTAATTAACCTGGTGACATGGTGACGTAGTGACACCTTCAGTTCTTCAAAAATAATTAATTATTGAATAACCTGAAACCATTAACGTAAACATTAACGTAAACATTTATTTCCAGGAATGTTGTCAAAATGTCATGTTGTCATCATTTTTAAGAGAAGTTAATTAACCTGGTGACATGGTGACGTAGTGACACCTTCAGTTCTTCAAAAATAATTAATTATTGAATAACCTGAAACCATTAACGTAAACATTAACGTAAACATTATTTCTGCAGTTCATCCATTACTTCATTACCTAATTAATTACAGACATAAAATATATTTAGTTCATTCGGTAAGCCTTGACCCAAAAGTCTGGGCTCAAGCACATTCAATGAACGCGGTACCATGCGAATACAGTCACAAATGGTGGCATGTAATCTTTACCCGAGCCTGTTGGATTTGTTGTGAAAGTGTGTGAATGATTTCCTGCGGTTCCACAGAAAATACCTGTGCTTGAATCTACTGGGTCAGTTGAAATATCAGATCTATTCATTCCCTGTCTATTCGAACCCGCTGCAAGATTTATATAACCTCTTTTTGTTATTGAATGTGAATGATTACCTGTTGTGTTTGTAGTTCCTGTATGAGTGTGCGGTGGAAGGTTTGCTTCTTTAATTTTCTTCGAACCTCCTGTTTGCTTTGAATATCTAGCACAGTATAAGAATTTATCTACAATCTGCTTCCACGTACCAAAACCTAAAACTGTTGCTGGATTTGTTGAATTCATTGACGTATAAATAGAACCAACAGGATATAATGTTTGAATTATTTCATTTTTCATGCTTGTAATCACATCATTTACTTCCGACTTCTTTGCATAATTTTCATCAACATAAGTTTTATCTGCTTTAAGATCTAAACATCCTGAAACCCATTCTGTATCAGCTTTAACTTTAAAAGTCTCAAATGTCCATTCATGATACCATTCAACCTTTTCTTTAATTTCATTATCTTTTTCATCAACATAAACCAAATTTGCCTTCTTATTTAACTCACTATCCACGTATTCCTTATCTACCTTCTTCATTATGTCGTTTAGGAAACCTTCTATGAATTCCTCATTTAAATTAAATCTTCCAATCTTCAAAACTTTAGGAAATGCATTTAATGCGTAATATCTCTGTTCTTCTGGTGGAATTGATGTTATATCATCCGTTATTCCTTTAATTTTTGAATTCATAAATAAAATTTCTTTTATATTTGATATCACTGCACCACCTTTGCAAACGAATTCGAAATGTTCATTTTTCAATACTATCTCCAAATCTCCATATTTCAACCTTTGCGTTTGTTCTGCTGTCTTTGAATTATATGCATATATGGCGTATGTAATGGTCTGAAGGACCTGGGCGCTTTGCGCCTTAAGTTGTTGTTGTTTAATCATTTATTATGATTTAAAAATAAATATTTAATCCGTTATCTCATCGGCTATTTTCTCTATTTGAAATTGCCATAATATTTCATTCATAAATTCTAAATCACAATCAAATAGGTCAGTTATTCTAAATTTAATATTTGATAAATCTTTTGAATGAAGAATAAATGAATTCCCGGATAATTGAAACGGATATGATAAAGAAAATGTGTTTAAGTTGATGGATAAAATGTTTTGTATTGATGGGTAAGAGTTAGGGTCTAATGTTTGATGTGAAAATCTCATTGGGGTATTAACTTTATCACATTTGATTAAAATGAAATTGGAACCAGTGTCAGAATACAAAACATCCCCAACATCTTTTTCAAAATTTAATATCCCCAACAATGAACGAAGATGAGGAGTACAAAATTTAATTTTCAGCGGGAATTTAATAAGGTTATTTATTTCATCAAGTTCAAAAAGTTTATCGGGTTTTGATTTAAAATTTTCTTCATACCATACGATAAATGATTCATTTAAATAACTTAAAATCATGTTAATATCCCATTTCGCTATCACATTATTTATATACATATCATACGTTTTTTCAGGGTCATCTTTAATAAATGATATATAATCTGAAGGGTCTAAAAGAATGGGATTAAATTTACCACTCACAGAAACGAGAGTAACATTATAAATTCCGCTAACTGTTAAATTTAATTCACAGTTATTATTCGAAATAATATTGATAATTGACATTTTTTATTACGATTAAAAAATGGTAAAACGTTATTTTCCAGTGATAAATAAAACTAGAATAAGATTACCTCAAGAATTCATAAATTCAACGAATAAGAAATTCATTCATGTTATAAATTTTAGTGTTTTCAGAAAATATGAGTCAATGTCATATTCATCAACAGGTTATATTTCACTTCATTCAAATTTAGTTCAATCAAACCCATATAATGACCATTTCATAAGATTTTCAGATGGTATTAAAAATGTAATTGATAGATTAAAATATGAACAGATTGACAATATCGAATTTTTGGAATTTTGGTTTAAAGATCCCGATGGAAAAAAGATTGAAGTTAAAGATAAAGCTGATACTATAACAAAAACAATTACAATGACCGATCCGGATAGTGGGGAACAAAAAGAAATAAAACAAACGATAGAAACTGGTGAAAGGTCAAATATTATTGATTATGATTCAAAGGATTATTATTCGATAATGTTAATGCTTGAATATTAAATAGCCTTAACAAAGAATTTTTCAAGTGATATTTTATATTCATCAACTATTTTATTATAAATATCATTATATGTTAAATGAAGTTCAGTTGTTGTTCCGTTCTTTGATATCTTAATTGTGCTAATATCCTTTATAGGATTTATTTTTGCAACTGTTCCGCAGCATGAAACCTCATCATCTATGAAAAATTGAATCTTAACGTCTGAATCTTGAACATCACAAAGAATGGCGATAATGTGAATTAATGATTCATAAGGTAAAATAATTAAACCGGATTGGTCAATTAAATTTATTATTGAATCATAATTATTAATTATTATATCACGGTAAATTTTCATTAATTCAGAATTAATGTCTATTTTATATGGGTTCTCGATGTTTGATGAAAGAGGCGGGGGGGTATGTTGGATAAGTGGGAATTTCAACAGGTTCTTTACCAGGTTCAGATAAAATGATTGGGTCTTCATTCTCCTCATTCTTCGGTAAGTCATGAGTTAATAAATTTGGTTGAGTTGCTGACCTTGTTAATTCAGGGCTAACATTAACTTTAACATTTTGAATAATTCGTGATTTATCATCATTTACGTTATAACCAACCGTAATCTCTGCTTTTGCGTTAGTGTTCTTTTGACTAGTAAAACGTCTTCTCATTTATAATCGAATAAAAAAAATATATTTAAACTTTTATTTTACTGGAACTTTTGACTAGTAAAACAGTCAGAATTCTTAACAACCGCCGGGTTCAGATAAAATGATTGGGTCTCCATCTTCTTTATTTTGCTCTCCCCCTGTTTCGGTAAGTCACGAGTTAATAAATTTGGTTGAGTTGCTGACCTTGTTAATTCAGGGCTAACATTAACTTTAACATTTTGAATAATTCGTGATTTATCATCATTTACGTTATAACCAACCGTAATCTCTGCTTTTGCGTTAGTGTTCTTTTGACTAGTAAAACGTCTTCTCATTTATATTCGAATAAAAAAATATATTTAAACTTTTATTTTGCTGGAACTTTTGAATCTATTATTCCCTGTATTTGTTCATGAAGTTGATTTTTAGCTGTTTCATCGTAATTAATAGACCTAATATATTCATTAATTGCATTCTTATAATCATCTGATTTCTCAAATTTTCTTTTATCTGATTCCTTAACTAAATCATAAGTTAAACCACGTTGCTGATATAATGGTTTCTTAATTAAATCTTTGAATGCTTGAGATAAAGCACCTGATGCAATTCTTGCTACTATAATTGGTTGGAATTGCTGTTTAAGTTCATCTTTAACATTTGCGAAAACTGGATCGAATAAAGCAACTTTAAAGAATTTCTTAGCTGAAATTTCAGGTCTAATATTTGCATATTTACCATCAAACTGGTTAGAATATCGTGGTAATCCATCCGGTCCCTCTTCAATAGCATTTAATTCTTCATTGAAATAAGAATATGGATTATGACGGTATGAATTAATTGGACCATTTTCACCTTCTCTAATGTATTGTTTAACAGCTTTTCCATTTTCATCAAATTGCATAGGATAACTTTCATTATATGCTTTACGTTTAGGATAATCAGATATAGTTAATTTATAACCATTTATGACTTTAATATTACCTTGACCATCAGTAACGAAAACTTCATTTATACCATCAGGTTTTCCATTTGGACCCGTAATGTCTGCTTCGTGTGCTTCCCAATTTGGACCTTGACGTTTGGCATATGCTTGAGCTTCTGGTAATGTTAAAACGTTTCTCATTTGTTTAACATCTTTTTGAAGACCAGCAACAATATGAACTAATTCTTTCATTCCATCAGGAACTTTCATAGTTCTATTATATGCACCCTTTTTGTTTGTTCCTTGTTTTAATGAACCTGTAGAAGATTTGCCATTTCTGTCATGTTTAATTATAAATAAAAAATAAAAATTAATTATAAAAAGTTAATCAAATTTAACACTTCCTTTATTTAAATCAACTATTATTTTTCCATGTTCACCTAATTGCTGATATTGTGTGTAAAGTTCATTAATGCTCATTGGTAAATTCACTTGATAAAGCATAACGTTCAACTGTTGACGACTAAACCCACTGAAAATGAAAAGTGTTGATAGATTTGATTTAATGTTTGTGCTTAATGCTTTGAAGTATTGAACAGCCATGAAGAATGAACACTGAATGTGTCGACATTGAGTTAATAACTGATTAAAATATGATTTCTCATTTGTTATTAGTTTTGATTTCACTGCATCATCTAGAAAAATGAGTGAATGCAAAAATTCTCTATCAAAATTTGAAATAGAAAGTGTTTCAAATAATTCATCCCGTTGTTTATCAATAATTTTATCCTCTAATCCTTGCTTCTTGATTGTATTATATAATTCTTTATACATTAAAAAGTTTTTTAAATAATCTTCTGCTTCTTCTTGTGATAAATAAATAATTGGAATTTTGATTAAATGCTTTAAAGATTCAAATGTATCATCTGAAGGTGAACCTGAACGGTTGATATAAATTAACACATGTGAATAGGGGGAAGTGTTAGCAATAATGATAATTTGTTTTAATATCGTTAATGTTTTACCTTTATTTTGTTTACCAATTGCTGCAGTGATTGAATTTAAGTAACATTCAGAATATGGAATTTTCATTAATTTTTCCTTAGATAGAGCATTTCTATTATCACTCAATGCTTCATTAATCATATCATCTACGTATGTATTATATACTCCCGCTAATTCTTCATAAGGGGTGGATGAATTTAAATCCATTTAATCAAAAATAAATTTATAATTTTAAACATTTCTATTCATCAATATTTCATCATATGAACTTCTATACTGTGGTGGTGTACCTGTTGGATGATATTTCAAACCTTCGTCCGGTGTCCATGTCCAATATGTAGTCCTAGTAAACCAAACCTGAGGAGGATTTGTCACCTTTGAACAGTAAGTGTCATTTTCACCCTGAATGATTGGATAAGCTTTCACTTGTACTGTAACTTGTGAGTTGAAAGTTTCTAATCCATCAAAGAATATACCCGCTCCATCACGTTGAACTGGAATAGTGCATAAGAATGAAGTTTGGTCTTTCCATGTTCTAGCTAATGGCGTGCC